CTTCCCTGCTCCCCAGCCCGCACCAGCGGGTAGAGGGCTGTCTTAGGGGGGGCAGGCGCCCCTTAGCGCTGCTCTCCCGTGTGCCGGAGTCTCCTCGAAGCTTGGCACTCAGAGAAGACATAGGAAAAGAGAGAGAAGGCATGAAATGAGCCCGCTTGCGAGGCGCCAGGGGCGAGGCCTCCCCTCACAAGGTGGTGGCAGGATGGGCTGTGAGTGTTGGAAACGGGAGCTGAAGAACGATGGTGCCTTGGCAGTGGCTGGAGCACAGTTGTTGAAACACGTTTAATGAGTAGTTCAAACGCCACAGGAATGCAAAATTTTTTTTTCTCTTCCTGGTGTCCAGTCCAACCTAATCAGCCAAAGTGTAGCCGTGGGCTCTCAGGACAGAGGGAAGTCAGGATACCTAAGAAAAACAAGATGACTTTTGGTGATTGATAGGATTTTCCAAGTAAACAGGAATCTGGGAAGCGTCCACTGACTCCATCCTGGGCAGACAAAGAGCAAAGCGGCCATCATCCTGCCACAGTATTTTTCACTTTTTTCCAGTATCTTTCTCATGATGATTATGTGCTTATGACGGAGAAAATCGGTGAATATCCTGGTGTAAGAGTTTGCTTGAGATAAGCTCTGTGACAGAGGGCCTTTCTCTGCCTTATCTTCACCCCAAAACGTGTCAACAAAGGGCGATTGCTACCCTGGAGGACACCCTAAATCAGCGCTGGCCACAGGGAGGATGGGTGTGGACAGGATCTCAGGCACCTTATCAGCCCTCCTGCTGGGGTGATGGCTGACCTCTCACCCTGGAGGAGAGCCATTCATTTCACTTTTTTTTTTATTAAAGATTTATTTATTCATACAGAACTGGGGCACAGGCCAGAGGTGCGGGGAGGTGAGAGGCTTCACCAGAGACAGAGTGGGGAGCAGAACAGGTAGATTGACTGAAGCACATTGCTGAGGGGAGCAGCGGGTGAGACAGGAGAGGTCTGCCATGCTGTGTGGGTCACCTCCCTGCCCGGGGATCGAACTCCTGCTGAAGTGGCGCTGGCTAGCTTCATAGCCTCATAGGTCTGCGATTTAACCAGTTGCGCCACCAGGGAGGACCCTCATTTCCCCTTTGTAAATGGGTGAAAGTGGAGTTTGCAGATACCACCTTCCCCCAGCAGGGACCTCGCCCGCTGATTTCCATTACTATAGCTTTTCCCTTTCTCCTTCCACACCACCACATTGACCTCCTCTGTCCCTGCAATATCACAGATTTGCTGACTTAGGAAATATATTTGTTGTTTCCTGTTAAAAAAAAAAAATGGGGCTCTCATGAGAAAGAAGCACGAAAAGAGCTTTCCTGGGTTTCCTCGCTTATCCCAGGGGGTTGGAACCCTGGCCAAACTCTCCACACTGTGGAGAAGGCACAGGTTTTCCCACCTACCGGGAAATCGTGACTGCTCGAAGTTTGCAGTTTTAATTCATTGCGTGCACGCTAAAGAAAAACAAAACCTCAACAGCTGACAGGTGATCTCCTTAGGCACGTGCCCAGCCATCGCAAATGCCACCCTCTCCGGGAGGCTGAAAGAAATTCTGGCCTGAAGGGGTTGATCCCTTGCATGAAGCTGTGGGGTGACCCGCTCCGCATCAAGGGGAACCAGCTCCTGTGCAATTACCGCCACCCCTTGGCTTCTTCTATTTTTGTCATTATTGAATTCATTCCGAAGAGAAGCCTCAATGTCCTTTCGTCTGTCCCCCAAAACTTGCATGCACCTCCCCACCCCCCATGCTTCCTTTCCTTTTTTCACCCTCCTGTGGGGTGAGTTGATCCATCAGTCACCACTAGCCTCCATGGCTATCACCTGCGGCCTGATTGCGTTAATGCAGAAGGGCCTGGGCGGTGGGCGCGCGTCTCATCGCAGACACCTGCAGCAGGGGCGCGCACGCATGCGTGAGCGGGCGCACGTGGCAGTGGGGCCGGGGCACGGAGGACGTCGGCGAGAGGACCCGTGGCCGCAGGAGCGACTCCTCCCTCAGTACGCGGCCTCCTTCCTTGCAGTGTGCTGAGACACAGCTCGTGTGCCAGTCTCGCCTCCCTGGAGAATGTGTTCCCAGAGCGCGCGCTGGCCGGCCTGGCGGCTGTGAGCTGGTCGAATGTGGGCCCTCCGGAAGGCCGACGTGGCTTCCTCCTGGGCTGCCCCGCTTTGGTGGAGAGCCCCCTTCGGGAACACTCGTGGAAGGTCAGTGTGGGGCCTGGTGTACTTGAAAAGGTCTTAATTTTGTCCCCTCGACGGGTGGTTTGGCTGGACGCAAGTCCCAGGCTGGGAAACCATTTTCCAACTTTTGAAGGCGTCACCCATCGCTCTAACCGCGTTTCTGAGAAATCCAGCGCTATCCTGACAATCTTCCTTTCTAAGAAACGGCCCCCTTCTCCTGCCGCACCCCGGAAATGTTTAGGAAGTTCTTGTCGCCTGTGGTAAAATGTCAGCAGTGTGCATTTATAAGGGCTTATTACGTCCGCGGGACTGTTGCTTGTGTGTAAGGTGTAGAACATTCCGTGATGGCCTCTGCTCTGGGTCAGCTCACACTGCTAAGTACCACCAACTCGGTACAACCGAGATTTATTCCTCACAATTCCAGAGTCCAGGGTCAAGTTGCAGGCAGATTCCATCTGTTGAGAAACTGGTTTCTGGTTTCCAAATGCTGCATCTGTGTTCTCACAAGGTGAAAAGAACTCAAGAACCCTCTGGGACCCCGTTTATAAGGGCGCTAACCCCATTTATGAGGCTCCAGCCTCTTGACCTAACCACCTTCAAGGGCCTCACCTGCCAGCGTTGCCCCTTTGGGGCTCAGGGTTTCGGTTCGGGCATGGAGGGACACGCGGCGTCTACTCCTTAGCAGCTTCTTTTCAAAACTTGATTTAGTCTTTTCTGGATCTAATTTTCTGGCTAGTGGGGGCTCCCGTGTCTTTGTTTTTCATTTCTGCTGTTTTGACAAATGTCTAAAAAATATGTAAGACCTGTTTTTAATTTTCTGAAAGAAATGCTTTGAAGCGGTCTCCTGTTGTCCTTCTGCAACGTTTATCTCTGAGGGTTTTGCGATGGCCTCCTCTTTTCCAGTGTTTTCTTCCTCCTCCTCGGTGGGTTTTTCCAACTTGCATCTTTTTCTTCCTGTTGTGGCTTCTTTCCTATTACTCTCCTGCCTGGAGGTAGATGCTTGTCTGTCCTCACCCTCAAGACCTGACTTCAAAGGTTTTCCACCAGGCAAGGCTGCTTTAGACAAGCCCGGCCTGGTTATCACCCAGCTCGGTAGCAGCTGATCAAGTTTCCTGCCCACAGGCGCTGGGACAGGTATTCTGAACTCATCTTGCTTGTCTTGGGGTGAAAGTGTCTCTCAGCCAACTCCTACATTTAAATTGAGGAAATCTCCATTTCCTGTCTTGGCAGCCTGGAAAACTGGACACAACCGAGTCCTGCCAGATATGAAGTCATGAGGGTTTGGTATGAGCTTAAGTTCCAGTGGAAGCAACTTTACTGAATTTATGTACAACTAAATATTTGTATAATTACTTCCATGTGACCTTTCTCTTTGTAAGATAAATGACTCACCCTTCACTGACTCAGCCACATCTTGATAAACTTTTCCCCGGAGGTGGAGGGATGGCAGCCGGGGCCCCGGGGTTCCGTCTCCTGCTCAGAGCCGTGTCCCCCTGGCAGGGCCCAGGCACGTGGCAGATGGCCCCTGCCCACAGCGGCCTGGGTGTGTGCTCCAGGGCCCGACGAAAAGCCCCGCGCAGTAGCCGCACAGCTTGTTCGATAAAACTCGTGTCTGCAATGTTAAGGAATGTAAACATAAACCCTTATTTGTATATAAAAGGGAGACTTCCACCGACAGTTTCTCTTCTTTTAGTTATTTTCCTAAATCGGGGCTTTGTAAAAATAATGGAAATTTACACATTGTCTCCAGTAAACACCAGGGCCAAGCAAACCTTTCAGCTGGCCACGCCACTTCCTTCCGCCCCTTTCTTCACCCGCCTGCAGCCCACGGTAGCCTGGCTCACCTCTCCCTCCCTGACTCGAGGCTGAGCTGCTTTGCTTCAGATGCTAAACTGTCGTTTTAAGTAACATAGTTTCATTTTAAGTAATAGAGTTGTAAA